CATGTTTTGGGAAGCACAGAATAAGGAATTCCTGGAATTTATTTTTGTTGATGTCCACCCATCCCCCAATGCATTTTTTTTGTTTTGTTTTAAATTCAATAGCATCCAGGATATCAGAGTGAGGAGAAGATTAATTGTGGGAGAGAGATGCTAAAACAGTGAAACCTAAAGGCTATAGGATGAAGTAGGGCAAAAATGATCCTTGAAAGGCTACCTGAAAAGAAAGCCAGATAATGGACTCTATGGGTTTGGCTACCTCATGCTCAAGCCCATGGTTTGTTTATAAGTGCCTGAACCCTCATTAAACTAGCCTAAGCGAAAAGGTGGACTTATTGATAGAAACATGGAATAGCTAAAAACAAACAAACAAACAACAACAAAAAAAACCAGTAGAGTTGCTCAGAACTAAATCTTGAAAAGGCAGAAACCCAACTCCACTCCACTTCTCTCCTCTCCCCTACAGCTGATTTCTTGTCATGATGTAGGTCTCAAGAGAAGCCATGTGGAAACACTGGACCTCCAAAGAGAATTCACTCACCAGCCCCTTTATCTCAATCTTTCAGTAGTCAAAGTTTGCTTCTTGGACACTAAGGGTACCCACTTTTCTGAATTCTGTTCCCTGGCCCCTGCACATAGCTGCTGGCAAAACTAGATCCACACAAGGTAGCAGCAGCTTTCACTGCGTGTGACACCAACTGCAGGGATGGGTCAGCAAAGAGCAGTGGCCAGTGGCACTAGTTGCCTGCTAGCCAGAAGCCTACAATCTCACTGATCTCCTAAATAGGCCCTGGGTAATTTGAACCTTAGGGTAAGAGAGATGACATAAGTGAGGTATGTAGTGGGAGGCATGAGGATTTTGAGCACTGAGCAACATGGTTGCTGCATCAGGCTGAGCTAGCAAAAAGGGGGAGTGATAATTTGATATGGTTTATGCCATTATAGTGCTAACAGAACACTATAAGTCTCTACAGTAAAGATCAAAGCTTTCATTCTATGGCCTAGATCAGTCGTTCTTTGTTATGGGGTGGGGCCACAACATTAGTAACAAAGAAACAGAATTTCCGGAGGATGAGGCCCCGAAATAGGATTTTAAAAAGATTCCCAGGTGATTCTAATGTGCAGCCAAGGTTGAGAACCACTGGCCTAGATGATTGTGACTGGTACCAGATGTTCCTGGAAAGCCAATCAGTCACAGTGAGAAGAAATCTATGGCCAAGTATATGATGCACAAACATTAGGTAGTGTACATTGGGGTTTTTAATTATTGCACAATGCTTGACTCAAATGATCATTTATCAATACAACTAAGGATATTAGTCCTTTAAAAAGAAGATAGTTTATATACACATACACACAGAGAACATAGACAGAGGTTGAGTACATGGGGGTATCTACTAGAGGACCGGTGCACAAAATTCATGCATGGTCCTTCAGCCCAGCCTGCACCGTTTCACAATCCGGGGCCCCTCGGGGGATGTCAGACTGCTGGTTTAGGCCCGACATCCCTCTCACAATCCAGGACCACTGGCTCCTAACCGCTCACCTGCCGGCCTGCCTGATCGCCCCTAACCACTCTGGCTCAGCCCCCGCCGCCGTGGCTTTGTCCAGAAGGATGTCCAGAATGACGTATGGAAGGTTGTTCAGGTATCCTGTCTAATTAGCATATTACACTTTTATAATTATAGATATATGTAAAAGCCTAATAGACTAAGTGTCCGACCGATTGTTCAACCATTTGGTTGACTGACCAGTCGCTATGACGTGCACTGACCACCAGGGGTCAGACACTCTGGTGGGTTAGCTTGCTGCTGGGGTCCGGTTGATTGGGACTGGGTAAGATGGGCTGGACACGCCCTAGAGCCCTTCCTTTGTCCCTCCCCAGCTTGCCAATCTCCTGCAGTTCCTCCCTGGCCGGCTGGTCCTGATTGCTGGCCAGGCTGAGGGACCCCACTTATGCACTAATTTGTGCACTGGGCCTCTAGTTTATTACATAAAGAAATCAGAATATATGCTATCCAAAGTTATATACTTAATAAGTTTAACAAATAAAGAGAAGGGATGAGAAAGAAGAAAAAGAAATGGAGATACACACACACACACACACACACAAGCAGAGAAGGGAACAGAGAGAGAGAGAAGGGTGACTGAGTGAAAGAGCAGGAAGGAAGCAGAAGGAGATAGTGAGAGGAAAAAATCAAGATAAAAAGATGAGATGGTGTACTGACAACTGCCAGATCATCACATGTCCCCTTAGTTTTTGAAAGTTAAAGTATTCATGCATTGCCATGCTATCAGCAAGGAATTAATGACATGACTGGTTTTGTGAATTTGCCCATGCTGTGAATCTTAAAAATGGTCTACCTCATATTTTCTTCTTCGCTTCAGTTAATGTAATAACAAAACTCTCCAGCCTTCTTCGTTATGATCACATAGAGCAAGCTTTCCTATTTGAATAATGAATTGGATGTATTTGCTTGGATAATCAAGTGAGGCAGCATCTAAATAGTTAAGGAGGTGGAAAGAACCAGTTGTACCACATGTTTATGCTGTCTATAGAGCTGGGGGATGATATTAATGAAATGTTTGAAAGCAATACAATTGTGCTTTCAAATATCCTATATAATAAAGAGGTAATATGCAAATTAACCCTCACGCCCTCATAAGATGGCTGCCTATGACCAGGCCAGCAGAGGGGGTTAGTGAGGGACGACCAAACGACTGAACAGCAAGCTGCGTGGGGCAACCAGGCTGGCATGGGGGCGATCAAGCCAGCAAGGGGGGGGGTTGCAGTTGGGGGGACCAGGCTGGCAGGGAGGGGGGCAGTTAGGGGCGACCAGGCAGGCAGGCAGGTGAGTGATTAGGAGCCAGCGGTCCAGGATTGTGAGAGGGATATCCGACTACTGGTTTAGGCCCGATCCCAGGGACATCCGGCAGTCGGACATCCCCCCAAGGGGTCCCGGATTGGAGAGGGTGCAGGCTGGGCTGAGGTGACCCCCCATGCACGAATTTTGTGCATCAAGCCTCTAGTGCAGCAGTTCTCAACTTGTGGGTTGCGACCCCTTTCCGGGTCGAATGACCCTTTCACAGGGGTCACCTAAGACCATCAGAAAACACATATATAATTACATATTGTTTTTTTGATTAATCACTATGCTTTAATTATGTTCAATTTGTAACAATGAAACTACATCCTTCATATCAGATATTTACATTACGATTCATAATAGTAGCAAAATTACAGTTATGAAGTAGCAATGAAAATAATTTTATGGTTGGGGGTCACCACAACATGAGGAACTGTATTAAAGGGTTGTGGCATTAGGAAGGTTGAGTACCACTACTCTAGTGTCTATATATTTATAGCTATACTAGAGGCCTGATACACAGATTTGTGCACAGGTGGGGGTCCCTCAGCCTGGCCTGCGACCTCTCACAATCCAGGACCCTTTGGGAGATCGGCAGTCTGACATCCCTCGAGTAATATAGTAGTGGGCAGAGCAGCAGGCGGCTGGGGAGGAGCCCAAGCCCAGGCCCGGCACTGTGTCACTCCTGCTCATCCCGGCCCCATGGCGCCTGCCTCTGCCACTGCTCAGTAGCGCTGCTACGGAGGTGGGAGAGGCTTGGGCCACCACAGCTGTGTTCACCAGCCCTGAGCCCTGCGTCTGGCACTCATTGGTGAGCTGAGTAGTGCTCCCGCTGTGGGAGCATACTGACCACCAGGGAGCAGCTCCTGCATTGAGCTTCTGCTCCCTGGTGGTCAGTGCGTGTCATAGCTACTGGCCAGTTGTCTGGTCACTTAGGCTTTTATATATATACTAGATGCCCGATGCACAAAATTCATGCAAGAGTAGACCTTCCTTCCCCTGGCTGCCGGCACTCGGGGCCCAGGCTTCCTTCGCAGCCCCAGCTTCATCTGGAAGGATGTCCAGTCTAATTAGCATATTATGCTTTTATTATTATAGACTAGAGGCCTGTTGCAGGAAGATTCCTGCAAGAATAGGGCTTTGCTCCCATCTCTGCCATTCCTACCCCACCTGTCTCTGCCTCTCCTACCCTGCCCATCTCTGCCCCTCCTACCCCACCCTTCTCTGCTGCTCCTACCCCGCCCTTCTCTGCCGCTTCTCTCCTGCCCATCTCCACTACCTCGGCTCCGTTGCTTGGCTTCCTTCTACGGTGTCTTCAGTCTTCACTCCCACCCAGTATATGCAAATTAGCAGCCATCTTTGTTGGTGCTTAATTTGAATATCACTCTGATTAGCCAATGGTGGGCGTAGCGAAGGTATGGTCAATTTGCATCTTTGTCTATTATTAGATAGGACTAGAGGCCCTGTGCATGAATTCATGCATGGGTGGGGTCCCTCTGGGTGGCCTGCAGGATCAGCCTGAAACCTGCAGTCCAACGCCACCTGCAGCTCCCACCTGCCACTCCCGCTCATCCCAGCCCCACTCTGCCTCCCATGGGCTCATGCCCAATCAGTCCTGATCCAGGAGAGGCTTGCACTGCCACAGCAGCACTCGCCAGCCATAAGCCCTGCATCTGGCGCCCTCCCGAGGGGAGTGGCCTGCAGGATCAGGCTGAAACCGGCTCTCTGACATCCCCTGAGGGGTCCTGGATTGCGAGAGGGCACAGGCCAGGCTGAAGGATCCCACCAGTGCACGATCGGGCCAGGGAGGGACCATGGGAGGGCTCCAGGGCGTGTCTGGCCAATCTCTATCGGCCGGACCCCAGCAGCAAGCTAACCTATCAGTCAGAGCATCTGCCTTCTGGTGGTCAGTGCACGTCATAGCGAGTGGTTGAGCAGCCTTAGCATATCATTAGCATATTATGCTTTGATTGGTTGTTCGGTTGTTCTGCCGTTTGGTCTATTTGCATATTACCCTTTTATTATATAGGATAGAAAATATGCACAGACATACTATATTTTATGACCACATTATGTAAATTTGTACACATATATGTAGCAAATCCTGTCTATTTATGTCAAGAGTATTACTGATACCCAGTCCACTATCTGTACTGCTCAGCTCCTCTGCTGGATGAGCATGCTCATCTCTGCTTTGATTATGTGGGATTTTCTTGTTTGCTTGCTTATTCGCCATCACGGCTTGAGACTGGCTCCAGGAAAGCAGCAATCTGTCTTGTTCTCTGATATACCAACACCCAGAACATTGCCTTGCACAAGGTAATTGTTTAATGCTGAAATACCAAGCATATTTCATTCACTGACAGTCTCTCTGAAAGAATCCTCTTCAATTCACTGTTACCACAAATTTATCCCAGGTTACTTCTTTTTGATTTTATATTTTACTAAAGGAAATTATATGAATGAGCACTTTTATGGGATTTATAGATTTTTTTTTTTTGGTTCCCTGTACTACCATGTTTTTACACACACACTAGTCAATAAAAGTTGAAATGTACACTGTAGTCATTCCTGTTATCAGGCATTGTCCTGGTCATAAATCATTATTAATAAGTAGTTTTAAATCTTTTATATTCAGTAATAATTGATGCTGAAATCACTGATCCTAAGTGCCATTTCAGAACCCAAAGTTAAATTGTCTACTGTACTTTGTATTGATTGCTTTTTCTATTTTGTTATTTCCCTAATTATTTTAAAGCTCATTACTTATCCTATCTCTCTCAACAGACCATGCATTTCTCCTTGTGTCTCTTAAATAGATATTTGATTAATTAGCATATTAGAGCTTCTGGCAAAATGGTAAAATGAAGAGTGAATGTTTCATTATCTCACAGTAACATATCAGGAAGCTAGGACAAGATATACATACATTTGCCACTCCTTGAACAGTGTGATGTCCCTTGCTCAAGGACCAATGAGGTAACCTTAGATTACATTTACTTTTGACATTGGACATAACACTTTCTAAAGATTAAACACTATTACGTTGGAAAACAATATTTTTTCTTATATTAGAATATGTGATGAAGTTTCAAGAGATAGATATTAACATGGCTTATTATACTTGGCATTCATATCATGTGCTTCATTTGACTCCTCACAAAATAACCAATATTTTTCATCCTACACTATCAGTTAATAACTAGCTGTGGTTAGTCCAGAAGATGAGTACGGTCTGTACATGTTATTTCAATTCTCGAAACTAGAACAAGGCCCTGAGACCTCGACTTTTGTCCTTTCTAAATGTCAAACTCACTGAATATCAGGCATTTATCATTTGTCTGGTGAATCCCTGACATGAAGGACAGCTTGCTGTTGACAATATACAGAAAGAATCCAAACATACTTTAACTTGGAAGCTGTTACCCTTTTGTCAGATTAACTGAATTTCTTTTCTCCTATTAAATTTAACCAAGTATATTCCGTGTATACTTGGCCAATCTCTAATGTAAAGAAAAGTACTATTTATTTTTATTTCTCTGTGCTATCATATTGAATATGCAGTCATGAAAATAATATTGCGTGTGATTAAATTCAAATATTAGCACATTATTCTTGAACTGATAACAAGGTAACTGTTACACATAAGCACAAACCCATAGTTTAGTTACATGACAAATCCATTAAGAAGGGAAAGCTAATCAATTTATGGCTGCTTTAAAAAAAAACATGTTTGTGAAGCTTTGACATATTGGCATTAGAAAGACCTTATTTCAACTCTATGCAGAACACGTTGTGAAATCAATAGTTTTAAATAATGTGATAAGAGCTGGAGATATTCACATATGTATTCTGAATAGCTTCCTCTGCTTAAGTCAAAATTTACTTCCCATTTGGGAAGTGTTATCGGGATGTTATACTTATGAATAAAATTCTAGTTCATGTTATATAATTCCTCCTATATTATATTCAGATAAGTGAAAAAAGTTTCAAATCCAAAGGTGGTCTGTAAATTGTTTTTATGTTCATCTGTTATTCCAAACCCTTCCAACTTTTAAAATGTAAGCATTAAAAGAAGCCACATTCATTGATTTCCTCTCTTTCTGTCAAAGGAGATATTGGTTAGTCCCAGGAGCCAAAAAAAGGAAAATAACTAAATTAGTATTTATAAACTGAAGCAAGGCTTTATTTTAGCATTAGATTAAAATCAATGCATGAACTCAAAATGAGACTACTCACAGTTATTACTGAGTGTACTTAATATTGATAACATTTAAAAGACTAGCAATATCAATGTTGACAAGGATTTGAAGGAGCTAAAACTCCATTTTGCAGTAAATATACTATGTGCTACTATCACTTTGTAAAACGTTTGGACTACCTACTAAAGGTAAACATATACCTATTTATGTCAAGTCAGTGCGTTTGCAAAATTTGTGTTTCCACAAAAATATCTAAATAAAAATGTCCATAACAGTTTTGCTAATAATAGACCCAAATTGGATACTATTCAAACACTCATCAACTGTAGAGTTCTCCAATAAATTATAGAATATTGATACCGAAGAATACTACTAATAATAAAAAAGAATGGACTTTATACATTTTATAAACAACGTTGAGCAATAGAAGCCAGGCACACACCAAAAAGTAAATACTAGATGTATATATTCTACTTCCACTGAGGATAAAGAAAGAAAAAAATAAGAAGGTAGCTCTCAACCCAACAATGAGAAAAAAATCTGGGCATAGTACAAAATGATTTTAATTAAACTTTCTTTCACAATGTGTTCTGCAGAGAGCTGGATTTGCAAGCAACCAAATTCTAAAGAGGGATAGGCATCTTCAAGGAGAGATGAAATATAAAGTCTTTTTCATTCAGAGTACTCCAAAAGGGATTTGTGTGTGTGGTGTGTAAATAGAAGCTCATTTGGAAAATCAAAGGAAATAAATGATCAGTTCAATTGAAAAAAAAAAAAAACAATGTAAAAAGTTGGAGGCCTCTCATTTCTGATTTTACATTTAATAAAGACAGTGTGGTTTTGGTAAAGGACAGATACATAAACCAATAAAGAGTAAAAACTAAATCCATACGTATTTGGTAAATTGATTTTTAAGAAATTTCACCCTGCAAAAGTGCTTCAATCCCAAGTATCCTCAATCCCAACACCTCCCCTCATTTTATGGCACCATCATATTGTTATTCATATTATTACCCTATTCATCTGATAACTGTTATGTAAAAACTAGAGGCCTGATGCATGAAATTTGTGCAAGAGTAGGCCTTCCTTCCCCCGGCTGCTGGCACCAGCTTCCCTCTGGCACCCAGGACCTGGGCTTCCCTCCCTGCTGCCGGCAGGTACCCGGGACCTGGGCTTCCCTCGTAGCCCTGGCTTCATCTGGAAGGTCATCCAGTCTAATTAGCATATTATGCTTTTATTATTATAGATAGTAAAATAGGATAAGATAAGCAGTTTATATCTTTAGGATAATTTAAACATAAAATGAAAGACCCAATGCACTGATAATTGTTCAGGAAGGCCATATATTAATTTTCTCTAATATTCTTAGCTCAAGGTCAGTTCATTCTTGCTGAGGACAAGAGAATTAAGTAGGAGACATATTAGAAGTGAGTCTAGATTTGTAATTACTATTACAAACTTTCGATTTCTAATTCTTTTTTAAGCCTTTAGAATTTACACAACCATTTCTCTCTAAAAATCCCATATACTCAAAATCTAACTATGGAAATTTAAATGGCATTGTGTAATGAGCAATTTTGTTTTAAAAGCATCTTAGATTCAATCTAAGGCTAAAATTCTGATTTAAATGCAAGTCAGCTTTGCAATAATAACCCATCTAATGAAACAGCTATTACTTTGACAAAAATATGTTTAATAGAAAATTATATCAGCTTTTTAATATTTACTTGATTAGAACTAGAGCATAATCAGCTAAATATATATACCCATTTTAAGAATTACAATTCAATTATTTTGACCCTTATCTTTTCACAAACTTTGTTGTGTGTGTGTGTGTGTGTATGTATGTATGTATAATGTGTTTAGTTTAGACTTAGACTTCATTTCAAACCTGGGGTTGCACAGGGGTTGGGAGGAGGGGAACTATTAGGGTGGGGTAAGTTGGGGGACATCTATAATACTGTCAACAAGAAAAAATACTATGAAAATTTGAATAAATTTTCAGACTATTTTCCTAGGCTATTTTTTTTTCCTAAAGTGCATATCAGCCAAATGCAGAAGTATTTAGCTCTTTGATCCATATTTTAAAGTACCAATAAATAATTGCCTTCCTATTTATTCACTTGTGGGTTTTACTTGCTAAGGACACATATATGTATAATTGAACTTTTAGTCATAAGTAGAAATGTTTCTATAAATATACTTGAAGACATTTCGGTGTTCTACAACCTATTATAATCAAAACACATTAAATGTTAACATAATTGCTGCTGCATATTTTGATGGGCTGCCTTAATCAAGGATTCCAAAAATGGCTTAACTAAGAAGTAACATTCAAGCTCTATGTGATCAAAATCAAACTACTGATATCAAAACCCTCTTCTATGAGTCGAGCCCAACTGATGTTTTATATATTTTTTTGCTGCAAATCTTTAATAATGCATCATTTTATAATTGGCATGGCTCTGTGTCCTGTTGAAGCTATAAATAAACATAATTACCTTAAAAATAATTCTGCTTACACAGTGGCTTTGAGTTGCCAACATGTTCTACATGTAGGCAGCATCCTCCTGATTTTCAGTGGGTTTAATCAAAGTCAACATACACCACATAAAGAAATCCCCATGATATGGAATCAATGATCAGTATGATATTCTCCTATCTGGACAGCTATTGTTGAACTTGTGCCTTAATACTCTCATCATATACTTGAGTCATGTTGACACTCTTCACAGTGTCTAAATTTTAAACAATCATTTTCATCACATAAATTGTCACACTCAGATCTCTTGGAAGACTGAAGAAAGAAGGGAAAAGCATTGGAGAAAATTAAGAAAACTGATTTCTGACTTTTTTCCATGGTCCTCAAGTTACCACTGAATAATGAGTTAGAAGCTTAGAAAACTTGCTTCAACTTTTTTCTAGGGTGTAAGTATCTCAGAGAAACATTAAAATATTAGGTTGGAAAAGAGGCATAAGGCTGGATTTTATTAATCCAAGCCAAGATTGAAAAGGATGAATTAAATAAAGGCCA